TCTGCAAGCCTTAATCAGACTGCGCTGATAAAGAAAACTTGTAGCGGGATAACAAAACCTCAGACCGCGCTCAGAGTGCAGGCTCCGGGACCCTCCCGCGGACACCTGTGCAGGTACTTCCTGTTCTGCGATGTACTTTTAAAACACATGGGTAAACGTCCCATACGTGAATGTTTAAAAGCTAAACATTAACTTTGTATGCGACTCCTACCACCCAGCCAACACCAGCCCAAAGCTGCTCCCGGGTCCCGTCACCTGTCGTCTCCAACGAGGCCGGCGGGGCCAGGCGGACCCCTTTGAGAGCCGCCGCTCCGGGGCCGTGCCCGGGGGCGGCGGGCGGGCGCCCGCATCCACCGCCCGCAGCGCCCCCGAGGGACTCAGGTCCTCTCCCGCCACCGGCCCGCGAACCCAGCAGCGCCACCGCCACGACCCGGTCTGCGCGGCCCCTCTGGCCCCGCAAGGAACGCGGGAGTGGGGGGCGCCCGGGGGGGGGGCGCGGGGCTGGAGCCGGGGTGTCCCAGGCGGGCCAGCGGGCGGCGCGGGTCGCTGAGTCTGCATCCAGGGCGCAGTTCCAGAGACTTACCTGCGCTCGGCCCTGCCTCCCCCACGGGGCTCCCTCCCGCTGGCCCGGCGCTGCCTCACGCCGACACCAGGCTGACACGCCGACCGCCGCCACCACCGTCCCCGAAGCGCGCGAGGCACTGGAGCACGGGCAGCCGCACTCCGCCGCCCAGAGCACGACCCCGCGCACGGAGCATGCGCACACGCCGACACCCTCGGGGCCTGTCCGGGCAGTGACACCTGCGATCAACAGGTCCCGCCAGCCCCGCCCCTCGGCGCCGCGCGCTCGCCCCGCCTCCCCGTGCTGGCCCCGCCCCCATCCTCCCCGGCTGACCCCGCCCCGCCCGGAGTTCCCGGGTGTGGACTTGCGGGGCGGTATTCCCGCGGGGGTTGGATGGGCGCGAGATCCCGCGAGACCAGGGGCCGAAGCATCTCCCCGAAGGCCGGAGCGGACCACGGGGTCTCGGGGCCGGGGCCAGGTGGCTGTAGGTGGGGCTCCCGGTGCAGCTGAGGGGAGGGGCGCGCTCCTACGCGCAGGTGATTTTTCCGGTGCCCTCAGTCGTTCACCCGGAATTTTCCAAGCTCAGGAAGGCGAATCCGCCGAGCACGGGCTTGGGGCTGGGTGGCGGTCCCTGGGAGCACTGGGTCTCTGGCAGCAGACCCTTTGGCTGTCGGTGCCTCACGAAGACCTGTTTGCGGGGATGTGCAGTCCCCAACCGGTTGTTTTCGTGGCTGCTAATAAAGTGAACGCTTTCATAAACGTGCTGACCCAGTTAATGGCTAATGGTGGTAAGAAACGTGTGGCTGCCTCCTTAGGGCGCTTTCCAACAGGTTTCCAGTTACACGCGGAGTGCTGCTTGGGAATTGGGTTAAACCTGGCTTCGTTATAAACTGTTTCTTAGGAAGAGCACTGAAAGGAAAACCCACGGTTGTCTGTAGTGTTAACGTTGCCTCCGTAAGTAGTAAATAAGGTTGTGGAACTCATTCCAAAGTGGGTTCAGGTAGGACCTGCAGATTGTAACATTTAAGTAATCTCATAGGTAGAAGCATCTTAGGCTGTTTTGAGCAAATAGTGCTTCAAACTGAATCTAGGAGAATGTCTTGAGCACTTGCTATGTTCCTGTTACTATGTTCCTTAGGCATGGAAGGAAATTCAGTGAAATTTAAGACATGGTTCCTGCCTTCAAGAGATTTAACATTTTTGGAGGAGTAGGAAGATAAAAACTCTACCTTTTAAAAATGATAATGACACCACGAACTCCCCTTAGTTTCCCCAGTGCCCCTGGCCCCTGTTCTCAGACCCCCTGCCTGCCCCGTGTTACATGCTCCTCTCCCCTGCTGTGCTCTGGGAGTCCCCTCGGTTACCGGTTTTGTTGTTTAGCATTCTCATTGTCTCGGAGAGCAGTCTCTTTCCCAGCAGGGACCCACCTGCCAGGTGTCCCACACGCCCAGGACTCCCAGATGCACATCTTCAGGTTCCGCCCTTGTAAGCAACAGCATCTGCGGTCACTTTCAACACGGCCCACATGGACGCCATTCCCCACCCACCTGGAAACCCAGCCCGTGTTCATTCCCTATTTCTGAAACCCACAGACACCCTGTGTTTCACGTCCTTTTCCTCTGTCGTGTTACCAACTTCCGTTGACTCTTGCCTCTTTAAGTATTTCACACCCACCGCTCTTAAATCTCCACTCTCACTCCTAGGCTGTCAAATAGTCATCCTCCCCGACTCATGTCACCCGCCTCGGAACTATTGCAATAGCCATCACGTGCTTCACCTCCAGTCCAGCCTCCATTCCACCACTGATCTCCCTAATGTGAGAACACAGCTGCGGTGTCCCACGGAGTCCAAGGTGTTGTCCGGGGCTCTTTGGCAGCAGGAGGGCCCCTCGGATTCGGCCCCAGACAGCTAACCCCGCATGCATTCTAACCCGTGTGCCCACAGTAGCCGTGTACAACTCCTAGCTGTCCCGAGATCCAGCAGGGTCCCCGAAATATCCCGCAGGTCTCCACCCAACACCCGTGCCCCCGGTAAAGCCTTTCAGAACCGAAGACAGACTTGCCCTTCCTTCGCCACTTTTCGGCCTGTTCCTGTTACAACACTCGTAGTGTCCTATAATCATCCCTATGCAAATACAACGGACGGAGCAAGGCCCACCTCCTCCCCTGAAAGAATAAGTCGGACTCGGGTTGTAGGCTCACACTCACCGCCTTCCTCGTGTGGAGGTTGCAGAAGGATGCCCATGCAGTTCACCCTGCCCGAGAATTTGACTAAACCCTGGCTGTAGGCTTTTTAAATCGTGCAGTTTCAAACTTCCTGCCAGTTCGTGGCATATCTAAGGGCTGAGTTTTGAAATGTAGATGTGTCATAGGTCACCAGTTAAGTGTCGAGAGGTCGTGCTGAAGCGCACACGGAGGAAGAGAAAACTGGCACTGCCCTGCATGCAGGGATGGAAAGAGCCACTTTGAAACATATTTGAAACCCGTGTGAGACATTCCCAACAGCAGGAGTCCCCAGAAAACTCTGTGGTGAGGACTGTCACAGCACAGGTTTTAAATGCACTGCCTCTGGGAATCGCCGTCTGTCCTTGAGGGCTGCGTGTGTGTGACTCAGTAGTTCCAAATGGACCCGAATTTACGAAGAATGGTCTCTGCCCCTCAGGGAGGCACAGGGTTGTGTGTGGGGATAGGCTTAGTGTGCCAGAGACCACCTCGCATTGATCAGCCGAGGCCTAGCCAGCATTGACGTCACCCACACCCCCACGCTTACACACAGGTCACCATTATTCTGGAGTGGCCGTGACTCGGGCTTTGGGAAACCTGCAGCCTTGTGGCTGGACCTACCCTATCCCTGGTGAGTAGCAGGGTGGCAGCAGTGACTGCACAGTGCCAGGAGGTGAGCACAGCCAGAGGCACCGTGCACCAGGCCTGAGCTGGGGGGGGGGGGGGGGCGGCCACTGGAGGCTGGAGAAGTGGCCTGACTCAGGTTGGGCTGCAAACACACTCTGTTCTCCTAACGGCTTGAAGGGAGTGGTGAAGGCTGATGGGGTTCATTTCCTCACTAACTGAAGGCCCCGGAAAGCAGGGCCGTATCTGCTCTTGGCTGGAGTTCCAGGACGTAGCACAGAGCCGGGTGCAGACGCTTGCCAAGTGCATATTCACTGCACGAGGTGGAAGATGGGAAGTTCTATCGATGTTTTCAGAGACTAGAGACATCTGAGTGGACCGGAAGTGTTGGGGAGGGCCTGTGGGGGGTCAGACAGGAGCCGCCGCCTGCAGGATGCACGGGCCGGTGTGCTGGAAGGCATGGAGGAAGAGACGCAACTGCTTCAAGAGCAAATCTTTAAACACAGGAATAAACAAGGCTGATGTGGGGCTCTAATAGGAAGCCTTCAAATGTTCCTGAACAAGATGATTAGTTGGGAATGACACACAGAAGATTCGTAGGGGGAACTGTAGCTACACAAGAAGAGCCCAGCCAGAGCGGTTCCGGAGAAGTCTTCAGGTCGTGACTCAGTGACGAGGTCACCGGAACAGCATGGTCACCGCCCACCACTCCCTCCTCCACTCGCTCACATTCCGGTGGTTGGGATGTATTCCTCCCCAGCTGTGCCCCAACCTCTCTCTTTAACCCACTTTCATGCTCCAAGCGACACCAGGCCTCAGCGCCTGCGACCTCATCTGTCCTCCTGCACTTAGATCCGCTTCCCACGCAGGAGCCACCCACAGGGGCTGTTTCGAACAGAGACGTGTTATTCCCCAACTTCAAGTTGTTCGACGACTTACCATTCACATACAGTCAAGTCCAGGTTCGCACCGAGGCCTGCAGCCCACCGGTGACCTGTCCTGGCTTCCTCACCACACCTCATGCTGCTCAGAGCTCTGTGTCCGCTCCCCACCCCCTTTGTATGGCACGGTGGCTCATCCTCCAGGGCACATTTGGCAAAGGCCAAAAACACTGTCGCATTGGGAGTGGGGCGCGTCCCTACTGGTCTCCAGTGGGAGAGGCCAGGACCGCTGTTCGACACGCTCCCGTGTACAGGACCGTCCCCCGCAACAGAAACGACACGGCGCACGGTGCTGGCACTGCCCAGGGTGGCCAACGACGCTCGCCCCTGTTTCCAAGTGGCCGACTCCTTTCAGCCTCCGCACCCCGGGTTGAACTTCACCTTCTCAGCCTCCGGGAGCCCCTGCTGACCTTGGACAGAGGGTGCTGTTGACACACCTCCTGTTCATCACAGCTTGTGACTGTCATGCCTGTCCATTTGCCCACTTACTCATCATCCTCCGCACCACCTACAAAGAACATTCCGTGAAGGGCGTGCATCCCCTGTGGTCGCTCTGTCTGTCAGGCCTGACACCGTGGCACACAGTAGGGATCCACAGAGTTGTTCCACCCTGAATGCGTGTCTACGCTAGGTCACCGCGTGGACACTTACCAACCTTTCTTCTTGGATACTTTTCCTGGAACATTGAAATGCGCAGCCCTAATTTTCTAATTTTCAGAGAGCAGAGTGAAGACACTGGGAAGAAGTGGCCGCGACCAGCACTGTCGCTGGAAGGCCGCGGTCTGCGGTCCGAGCTCAGAGGCGCTGCTCGCTTCTCTGTCCTGAGCAACTTCTCACAGTCAGAACCGGAAGGGCAGTAATAGCATCATGGCCAAGTCAACTGCCGTCTGTTGGATGACAAAAATCAGTCAGGGGGGAAAGATGGTAAGGGACAACAGTGCCCGACGATGAGAGAAAACGGTAATATTTTTGATGATCTCTTAAAAAGTGAGAAAACCTGATTATTTATTTACTACACTCACGTCTGAAAAAAGCTGGTAAAAGTGCACTTGGCAGGTGGTTAATGTACATGTCATTTCCTTCAGCTGAGAAAACATCAATGGGGACACGTCTTTCTCTGCTTTCAGCGACAGGTCCAGACCAGGGAACCTCGGCAGGGGCCGAACTGCCAGTGGGGCGTTTCCCCCTTTTCTGGCCACAGTGATTGGTCTGGAGTGATTGGGGCTCATGGGCACCCCTGCCCAGGAGTTTTCAAATGACAACTTGCAGGAGAGAAGTTGTTCCCTGTTCCCTCCGACTGCGAAGCCCTGAAGACATGTACTCGGAGCTGCCTGTTCCCCACCACTGAGCAGCTGGTCTGAATGAATAAGGCGGACACAGTGGGGGAGGAGTCCTCGGATAAAACAGGGAGTTCGACAGTGGTGTTCACTGGGCTCCTCAAGGCTTGGAAGCATGGCATCCTGTTAAAAAGCAAGAGGTCAAGTTCAACACCCATGGCGTGTCGCCAGTCAGCATGTGTTAGGTGACCACAGTTGCTGGCTTAACCAGTGGACTCTTTGCTTTCTGCTGACGCGTGGGCTTGAGTGATTTCATTGCCCTTCATGTGAGTTCACTTTGCAATGTTCTAATTTTCTTATCTGTAAAACCGGGGTGAGAAATAATACTTATCCTGGGTGTCTTTGATTAGGCCCCAGATAAAAGCCACTGTAAAGGCCCAGCCTGTGTCATTACGGCCATTAGTGCTGTTCCCGTGGTTGCTGCTGGCCTCGGGGATAATGTGAGGCTTTATGAACCTGTACATCATCTTCCTTGCCTGGTACGTATTTTACTGCAATCTCAATGACGCAGGAGGCTGTGGGCGTCATCTGGTCCAGCCTCCCCTTCCCCGAAGAATTGTCCCCAACCTCTGTTTCAATATGGTGACAGGAGGGACAGAAAACCAGATGCTTTGTGGGGCGGCCTTTTGCTCTTTAAGATTTCTTAAAAGTTTCTGAAAAAGATTTCTTTAAGATTTCTGAAAATTTCTTAACTGTTAAGAAATTTTCATGACAATGAGTTAAATCTGCTTCCCAGAAATTTCCACACACTGGTCTTACTTCTGTTCTGTGTACCCGCGGAAATCTGTATTCTCTCTTCCATAAGACTATTTCACTTTGAAAACATCTCATGTTTTCCACCTAAAAATACTCAGTTCTCTCAGCTTTTGAAGGCCTCGTAAATATTAGGCTAACCGACCCAACTTCACCTCATCGTACAAAGGATTTAAAGTAGGGACTTAAAAAGGTAAAGGAAGAATGAAATCTCACATATAATATAAAGCAGGGATCAGATATAAATAAGAAAGAGAATCGGAGCTGGGAGACTAAAACACAAGTGGAACATTAAAAGCGAGATCAGAACAGATATGCGGAGACAGCCGTGGCTTCACCCCCGCTGGGCTGCGCTCGGAAAGGCAAGTGCCTCTGTGAGGTCAGCGATCGGGAACAGGAAAGTGTGTTTCTGTCAGCACCTCAGTCACAGTTTCCCCCGCGTGGCCTTCATCTGAGGGCGCCGTCATCTCTGTTCTCTCGCAACGGGCCCATCTGCAGAGCCCGGAGTTCACCACGCACTTGTGTTATCAGCTGTGGAAAAAAACGTAGCTCCAAAAATAAAAACAGGTTTTTAACGCAGGCTGATGTGTGGTTTGGGGCCATTGTATCCTCTCCTGGCTCAGAGGTTGCGTTGTGACCAGGACACTGTGAGGGTGCTGCCACTCACTGCGCAACCCGTCGCTCCTTTAGCCGATGCAAGTTCGCGTGGCCTGCCCACAGCCGTGGGGAGAAGCAGGAATGAGCAGGATGTACCCGCCTAAAACACCCAGACGTGAAGGATGCGGGGAGCTAAATACCTCTCTTTAAATTTTCACAAAATGCTCTCCCTGTGCGGTCCTTTGGAGCCGCAGAGATGCAAAGGGCCTCCGAGGCGCGTCTGCGGCAGCCTCCCTGCCAGGAACAGCGAAGCTCTGGGAGGTGAGGTCACCCAAGGCCACGCCAGGGGCCGAACCAGGCCTGCGGCCCCGTTCCAGGACACTCACCACCGGCCTGCTGTGAAACACTGTCCCTGAAACACTGAGTCTTGTTTCTTAAAGTGTGGTGGCATGTCTTCCGTATTCAAGTGCTGGCACCTCTGTGCCCTGCTGAAGGTTGAGGGACGGGGACGGGGGGACTGGAGGGCAACGTCCAGAGCATTTTGCAAGTGCTGACTGTCTCCTTGTGAATTATGCCGCCCAGGCTGGGTCTTGGGTTCCAAGGAACACACCGAGGTGTTTGGTCCTTCACCACTTTCGGTCTCCCACCCCTTGGGGACCTGACAGATAGAAGCCTCTGTGGTAGTACACACACACTCACACACACACACACACTCCCACACAACTTGACCTCCCGGACTGGCTGGTTTTTAAAGTAGCTCTGTAAGAACACAACAGGAAAGTCACACCGCGTCCTTTCCCCGAGGCCTTTGGCCGCAGCCCTGGGCCTGAGCAAAGGCAGTTGCCCTGGAGAGCTTGTCGCTTTGTCAAGGTGACGAAAATATTCAGGGCGCCCTGTTTTCACGTTGAAATTCCTTGTTGAAATGCACTTCATGGCTGAAGGAAAAGAGGGAAATCAGGCATGTTTTTGATAGAGTAATAAAACTGTGGGAAAGTATTCAGTGATAGAAATACTCCCAAGAAAGACACGCATATATAAAGGCAGAGGTTCCGAGTTTATTTCTCATTCTTAGCAGTCTATTTCTCTCCAGTCTTTCTCCCTCTATGAAATGAGTGCTAACCCTGGAAATGTACTGGGGGAAAAAAACCCAAAACCTTGGGCAAACAATACCCCTGGAATGTATGTGAAAGCCTTTCTGTGCATTTTAAAAATCAAAGTTTTCTGATTGAATTGTTTTGTGTCATTTTGTCCTCCTGTGTCAGACTCTTGAACTTCACAAGGACTCTCCTCGTCAGAGCAGTCCCAGTCGTTCTATCGAGACGGCAGCCGCTGCAGACAAGCCGACATTTGCCTTCCACGCAGCGCCTCCGGCAGGCAGAAGGGCGGCCCGGGGCCTGGAGGGAACCGTGTGTCCGCACGTCCGCGTGGTCCCGTGCCCGCGGCAGGCAAGAGCTGATCGGACGTCCACAGAACAGACTGTCCCTGAAAGCCATGCCCTCTGTTGCTTCCTTCTGCGTTATTCTTCCGAGTGTGACAAGGGGCGGAGCACGGCCACCTGCACCCGTGTCTAGACCCCTCCTCAGAGAACACAGCTGTCAAGTGAGGGACACAGAGCGAGAGCTTTGTAGCGAACGAGGCACGTTCATTCACTCTTCAATGCGGCCGAGGCGTTGGGTCCCTTCGCTGGGCGAAGAGGGTCCCTGTTGGTGCGTTTTCCTGGTGGGAGTGAAACTGCCGGCATCGTGAACTAGGCCTTGACCTTCCGGCTCCACGTTTTCTGGTTAGCCCTCCCCCACCTTACTGCCCCGTGGTGAACAAGGAAGGCACACAGATGACGTGAAGCTGTGTCTAGACGGGTGTTACTTGCTGTCTGTCCTCAGAGGGGGTGTGGTCGCGCCCCATGGCGGCTGCGTTCGGCGGAGGCAGGAGGAGCTAGTGGAGGGGTGAGAGGAGAAGCGGATGGTGGGCCCGGGTTTTAGACACGCGTGTGAGAGCAGACTAGCAACGTCACTTTTCTGAGTTTCCATCCTGTAAATGCGGGGGTTGGTCTAGAGTATTTTAAGACAATGTGTAATTCTGAAGCTCTTCCGTTCTAAGTCCAGGGTTGCTTATTTCAGCCAAGGGAGGGTTTCATTATGCTGCTCACATAGTAGTATTAGCAGGTTGTATTTGGCAAAATGGTAACGCGTTCTTCCCTTATTATTACATCCAGAACATTTACATCCTTCCACTGTGCTGACCGGGAACACGAGCAAGCATCAGGGTCCGGAGCCGCACCAACAGAACAGCGAGTCTGTGCAGTCTGATCGCCGGGGCATCGACCGTAACTGCTACACTCACACGCGTTCACACCTGACCAGGTGAACACCTCTCTGTGTTGCACTGCAGCCTGGTCTGCTCAGAAACTGCTGTGAACAGCACACGTTTGCCCCTCCCAGCCGTGCGAGCTGGCAAGTCCAAAAGGAAGGCGCCTGGCAGAGTTGGTGTCTGCTGAGAGTTTGCAGCCAGGTCCCCAAAGGGCTGCCGGGTGTGGCCTCATGTGGGGGAGGGGTCGGGGCTCTGTGGGGTCCCCCATCCCACTTCTGAGGACAGCACCCTCCTGACCTCTCACCTCGCACAGGCCCCGCCTCTAACACCATCCTGTGGGAAGTTAGGGCCTCAATGTACCAAGTTTAGGGAGCCTACATTCGGCTCCCGGCCTTTTACGTTTAACATGTTCTTACTGGATTTTGATGAGCTCGTGAGGGCACTGACTGTAACGAATCACATCCTGTGTTCGCATCTCTTTCTGGGCGTGAGGAGAGAAGCACACGCTTCTTCGATGTGGTCCGCCTGGCTCCACGTGCGTCCCTGAGCTGGTCCTGGGCCCGGAGGGCCGCGTGGCCCAGGAGGCCCAGGGCCTGTGGCCCGTCAGCTGGGCCGCGGAATCCTGGCCAGACCCACGTACACAGAGGCAGAGATGAAGCCACGTGGGCATCAGGAACCGAGCTTTAAAATTAAGCTTGAGCACGGGAGTTGGAGAGTATTCCGGCTGCTCCCTCAGGGTTAGGCGGGGAAGAAAAAACGGCTACTCCCGGTTGGCTGGGCGCAGGTGAGTTTTCCATTGGTCTACAGGAGAGGCCCCTCTTTCCTTGGATACGACTTCCAGGTGCAGAAAGGAAACCCCCAGAGGCAGGGGCTGGGGGTGGCTGTTTTTGAATCCGCACGCTAGAGATGATTGTGCCAGCGACTGCAATACTAGTGCAATAGGTTCTTGATTGGAAATGTTACCAACAGGTATTTAAATGGAAAAAAACCCAGCTTTTTTAGTTTTAAAGAGTCTAGCAGCTGTCAGTCCTGGGGGACTGTCTCCTGAGAGTGTGAAGTTTTCCAAAGAGGTCCGGTACTCGGATGAAGGGCAGCACACTGTTTTGTTTTGTTTTTTTAATTCCCAGTGACCTAGAAAATATGTGAATGGTCACAAGAAATAACATTTTAGCAAGACCCTGGGCAGGCTTTTTCCGTGGTGACCCGGACTCTGGGGAACAGGGCACAAGCTCGTGCTTATTCTAAGCAGCAGTTGGGCTGCCTCCGTCTTTCTGAGTTTGTCTGCACTTAATACTCTTGCTGCTTCGAGATGGGTGACTTGTAAGTCAGGGCTGAGTGTATTTATCCCAAAGCAATGCCAGTGTGACCTCAAATTTAATTCCAAGGGCCTTTGTGTTCTTACTGTGTGATGCTGATACTTTTTTATTACGTTAATAAGAGTAACTAACAGTTACCAAGCCCCCACCATGAATCAGGCAACCTGCTTTATCATGCAGTATGTTGAAGACAGACCCTAGTATTGTCCCCACAATTCAGATGCACTTGCTTATTTAACAGGTTTTCATCATTCGTCATTGTGCACCCGGCACAGAGGATGCAGTGGTCAAGGGCAAGGCCAAGTCTCTGCGCTGGGAGGGAGTGCACCCCGGCGAGTGAGAGGAACAGCAAAGGGATAAATCCGCGTTCATGTGTCCTGAGCTGCAGCCACAATCCCTGCGGATCCGTAACAGTGCAGTCGGCCTGTGGTCCCAGCTCTGTGCCCCATTGACTACTCGTGTGACATTCTCCCCGAGGCTGTCTTCCGCAGTCTGCTTCCAGCCAGCCACTGACCTTGATGGCAGTGACGTTGGGGCAGACCTGTTTCTGGAAAATGTAGGCCTCTTCTCCCAGGCGCCTTTAGCTCAAGGATCCCCCGACTGCCTTGATGAAATCTTCCCTGGACAGCACAGCTGCCTACAACACACCCCTGTCTAAAACACACCCATGTCTAGGACACGCCCGGTCTAGGACACGCCCACATCTACACAAGCCTTTTCCTGGAACACATCTATGTCTGGACCAGCCCATGTCTAGGACACGTCCATGGGCGGTCTCTCGACTCTCTGCCCATGTCCCTCTCATGTGGACAGTTTTCCTAACACCCTTTCTGCCCTCAGAGGACCCAAACTAGAAGGGCACTAGGTTAGGGAGCCACAGGCGCTGCAGAGAAAAATAAAGACATGACCAGCCATGAGCAGGATTGTCTCTTAAATAAGGGTGGTCCGAGGAGGTCCCAGGCTGAGCGGCCTTGAGCCACGTAAGCAGAGTTGGAGAAAACTCTGACTTTGAGAGTGAAGTAAATTGCTTACGATTACATCACTGATTTGTGGCAGGTCGGTAGGGAGCTGGTCAGGGCGCTGTGTTCACGTGTGCTTGCTCCAGGGTTGGGACGAGAGGCCACGGGGGTCCTCGGGAGCCGGCTCACAGCCCAGACTGCAGTCGTGTCCGCAGAGCCACTGCCGAGGCTCGTATTCCCCTCAGCCTGCCCCTTCCCGGCCCTCCTTCCCCTGCTCCTTCACATTCATTTTGCTGGTGCCGTAGCTTCCGTAGCAATTCCCCGATCAGCAGCTTTAAAACAGGGAATCACACCGAGTTTATCTTTTCCTCTCTGACCTTCCCTGCCCTGTTCCCTGAGTGTCTGTCTCCCACACCACGCAAGCTGTCATCGAAATGTGTCTCCAGATACCATGCAGTGCTCAATCTCGAGCACATTCTGTCTGGATCTGAACTAGAATCTTTTAGAAATAACTTTTGTCCCCCCTCTTTGCCCCTGTGCAGCAAGTTTCCTGTTGAGCTCATGTTACATGGAGAAGCCAGGGAACTTCACCAGCAGGTTGAAACCAAGCTCTTCTGTGTAAGGAACTGGCGTAGGGACACACATCCTTGGACTCACCTGAACCATCGACACCCTGAGACGCTGGTTCGCTCTCTCAGCTCTGAAATGCTCCACCTCTCTCGATGTCCCTGTTGGCACATCTGCCAAGTGCTGGCACCAGTTACTCTGGAACGGGTCCCCCTGCTCTTCTGGCAAAAGTCTGGCCCCCGTCCCTCTCATAGGAAGCGAGCGGCCGTCTTCTGCAGCACAGAGCGCGCAGAGGTGGCAAGTATTTTCCATGAGGGAGTGTTCACAACCCTACTTCCCTGAGCTTGGCAGAAAGCGGCGGTGGCGGAGACCGCACTGGCGCCACGTAAGGTTGATCTCGCCGCAGCAGCAGAGGGCACGTCCCAGAATTCATCAGTCTGCGGGCACAGCCCTGCTGGAGCAGCAAGTTCACCCTGTGCCCTTCACACTCGCCACCGGACGTTCTGCTCCGCGGGCACCTTGGTGGCAATACTTGGCTCCCTCCCCGTCCAGGCTGCTAAAACGCTTATAAACGCGTCCATTTGGAACACGTGGAACCCTCAGGGGAGGCAATAGATGGCCATTTCAACTAAAAATTATCGCTCGTATTTGCACTTGATTTTGTAATAACCGGTAACTCGTTTTTTATCATCAAGTCCTTGCAGATATTCGGGATGGAAAATGAGGGGCTCAAAGGCAGCGTGCAGGCCAAGGAGTATCTGTTCGTCACCTCGTTCTAGTCATCCAAGGGCCTCTGCTTATGGAGGGAACAAGCCGCCAGCTGGGCATCCAGACACGGGCTAAGTAAACCAGGAAATTAGTTTCACGCCCCAACCTCTGTTGGACGATGTCACAGACTTGGGGAGAGGCCCCACTGGAGCTGGAGAGCCCACCACCCCTGCGTCTAGAAGAAGTGTGGGCGTGCTGTCCCCAGTGCGCAGCGCTGACCAGCGGCTGCCCCCTGAGCGCGCCGCTGCGCCTCTCCAACGCGAACGCGTAAGGAAACGTGCGCGTGGCGTGCCCGGCTGCAGGCACAAGGACCGCGGTCTGAGAGCACAGCTCCCCGTGAGCGGGAGACCGCCTTGGTGGGCGAGTGTAAACTACCTCGCTGTACAGCTGGATTGGCCCAATTAAGATAATGGAGGGGTTGGTTGGTTTGTCTGTCTGTCCAGATGTAACAAAATAGTTCCAGGCTGAATTTTACTCTGAAAGAGAAGTAATGAACGTGAGTGCTTATAGATGTTCGAGTCAGACTTGCCAAGTTCTCCCCATTTTGAGCCAGAGTCAGGCAAGTCACCTTCGTTGTCTGGGGCTCAATTTCCTTATATGAAATGGAGGTTGTGTGTAATACCTCCCTCACAGAATAATTGTCAAAATAAAATAACATTAAAATACACATTGAATGGCCTTTATGAAGCAGGGCGCGGGCGAAATGCCAGCCTTCCTGCTACTCCACATGGACAATTGTGTTTCCTCAGACTCTGAAAGATGGGGCTGCTTTTCAGGTCAGTGGAAAGCCCAGTAAAATTCCTTTTGAACTCTTAATAGTACAGCAACTGGAGTGTGAAATTTTGGCATTTCTAAAGGTGTCAGACAGCTGAGCTAGAATTACTAGACGGTTCCAGGAAAGGAAGAAATACAATAGAGGGCTATGCCATCATTTTCTACCCAATCTTAGAAAAAAAAAAGGCACTCAGCTTCTGCCTTTTTAAATCCCACTCTGGTGCCGGGGAGCCCCCTCTCCTACCGCTGACTTGTCTAGTTGCTGCCCTGTCGGTGGCCGGCTGAATGGCAGCCCATTTGGAGCAGTTAAAGCCATGAAATAAAATGCCAGGTTAAAGAAAGAAGTAACTCATTTCAAACTTCCAAGAAAAACTAAGCCATTTCAGCAAAATGCATAACAGAATATGAGTGATCTTTATTTTTGTAAGATTAAAGTGAACCACAAATGGTGTGATGGGAGCCTCCTATCTAGTGTTTACCAAAGGTGCCAACATTGTTATTTTAGAACAGGTAAACACTAAAACGTAAACAAAGAATATGACATAAAGGTATGTTTTAAAGTATGCCAATTATCTTCAGTGATCATATGTGTAGATACAAATCATTGATGTGATTACTTTCCAGGGATTGCATTTTTCACAGGGAAAATGGTTTAATTTCTCTACTTACAAGTCTAGGGTGACTAAGTCGCCCACCGGTTCCAACACTGGGTGCAGATTCCGGTAAATCGGCAGCACCCCGCGCGGCACTTCCTCCCTCTCCTGTCCTCGCTCTGACCCGTCCCCCGAACGTCATCTGGTCGATGGTATTTTCTGTGGATGGGACAATTCCTCCCTGTTGAAAAGTCTATCGCCGAACCCTGAGTTCAGATGGGAAGACCTGCTACTTACTGTGGGACCCGTTCTCGGTTACACACGTCCTCGGTCACACTCGAAGATACATCTGTCACTTTATATTAGTCTGAGTCTTTTACACCAGTGCACTGACGCCTTTCATAGGAGGTGTGTGTGACATTACTCTGAGATGCTGTCATTTCGTGGCTTTGTTTGTGCGGCAGCATGTGCTCCCTAGTGCTTCAGGGTTCGAGCAGACTTTAACGACCCAGCAAAGACAGCGGGCAGTTCAAGGTCCTCTCCCCTCTCTCGTATACGTATGTTCGTTTACATGTGTATTAGTGTGTATTTTATTTGTCTTTACTCTTCTAAAAGTGTATGTGGAAAGTTGACCTTCAACAGCACACAGCACTGGGGTGTGAGGAACTTGAACCTCAGTAACCTTGGCCTTTAAAATGAGGAGGCAGGCTGTGCCTTGAGTCATCGTCTCGGGCTCCTTGACTGAATGTCAAGTGAGGAGCACGATGCAGCCAGGCCTGGAGCGTGTCTGGGGTAGTTGCTCTGTGACTCACAGCATGTGGAAGAAGAGCAAGCCCTCTGGAATCTGTAAGAATGCCAACCACAGTTCTTCTCCCAGGCACGCTACCGTGTCCTGGCCACCGGGGAGGGCCCGGCCCAGCCAACTCTTTTCCACCGATAACGGTCGTGCGTCATCGCCCATAACTTCCATTCCTCAGATAAAGCGTGGAGTGTGCCTACGTCTCTCCGCTGTGTTTTGATCCCAGACTCCCTTTGAAAAGCTTATCTGGGACCAGGTCGGTGCAAGGAGAGGGGCCAGAACATTTTGTCGTCCGCTGTCTGGGCTGCATCGGTGAGAAGGCTGCATTGTCAGGGCAGGTGACCGCCAAGGGCTCACCAAGACAAGGGAGTTCAAAGCTTGCACAAGTCATGGGTTGTTTATTAGTATTGGATCTGCGGTGGAAAGTAAATGCTGTCAAAGGAAAACTGCTAAATTTCTATCAAATTATCGCTACTGATGAAGAGTGTGGGAAGTAGCACAATGAAATGGCAACATCGGGGCTCCGGGGCGCAGAGGACTTCCCCCCAGTCACAGGTCTTCCGATTCCGGCGCGGCGGCATCCTCTGCAGCCTCGCTGGTGACCACTATGGGGATGTTCTCTGACATCCACCCCTTAGGAGTCCTGTTAAAGGACCGTCTGCCAGAAAGAGGGTTTGCGAAGGCCATGAACCTGGAATCCGTTAGAAGTAGTAGCTCGAAATCTGGAACCTTGAATTTAACCATTTTGGATGCTTTTTCAAAACCTCCAAATGGGGTGGCAACTCTGTGGGGAGTGAAAAGGAAACGAATACATTGGTTTTCAAGTTTATTTACTGGAAAACAGAAAACAGCCTAATGCATCATCACTTGACGGGCACCTTAGGCTCTATGTGACCTTTCGTTTTTGACCCTGAGACAAGCCTCTCCATTCAAGTCCCTTTGGCTGTACTCTTGGTTTGGGACAAAAGTAATCTAGCCCCTGTCCCCGGAGACCATCACAAACATGTCTTGCCTTTGGGGCTTTGCTCAGGGAAGCTGCCTCTTCCCTGCCTGCACTCCCCCTGCAGCCTGTAAATTCCCGCCACCCCCCCCCCCACCACCTCCCGCCCCTCTCCCAGCCTCCACCCCTTCCTGGCCAGATTCCTGCAGCATCCACTGTCTTCTGTCTCATTCAGGGCTCACGGAGGGGCTTAGATGGTCATTCATCTGAGCATTTAACCGAGCGCTGGATTATCATTCAGATGCTCCGTGATCCTTAAGCGTCAGCAGGCGGAGATGGTGATGAGAGCTGGCAGGTAGGGACTGGGCACCGGGCACCAGACCCTGACCGACATGCTTCCCAAACAGTACCGGGCCAGGAGGCGCCTTGGGCCCAGGTGACAGTGCAGACACTGATGGAGTCCAGGGTGTGTCCGGAGAGTGTGTATCCCTGACCAGTTCCCGAGAAACACCCGAGTTGTCTGTGTGGCCCACACATTGAGTACCGGGCGGTTTACAGGATCATCTCCCCAAATCCTCACAGCCTCGTGAGTTGGATCTGTTAACAACCCCATGCCATAGATGGAGGCACACATCTGCTAAATGTCTTGCTCAAAACCACTCACTCATTCAGTTGCAGAACCAGGACTTAAGCCTGCACACACCCCGGAGGCCCGCTTTCCCAGGACGCCTGTGGCACACCCTCGGGACGCCCTTCTCCACGAGTGGTGGGCCCTCTGGGGGCGCTTCTAGTGCCGCGTGTTTAGCTCTGACAGCCCACTCGGGCCCTGTCTGAAGGATGTCACACCTTGTTGCCGTCACATTCCTGAAGCCACTAGCTGATTCAATGTCCCACCCCTGCTCATCTGATGTAATGAACTTCAGAGTCTTTATGGCTTAAATCTGATTCCGTAGACAAGTAAAAACCTGGACTTCCTTTTTAGATTTAGGCTGCATCTGGTCAATTCATTTCATGCTTACGAATTCCAGAAATGAATTTTACCAATCCATGGGGTTTTTTGTTTTTGTTTTTTTTGCACTAAATCAAAAAAGAAACGCTCCTTAGCCACTGAAGTCCAGTGTTTGGGTTTGGTGATGAGGGTATTACTTTTTCCCTTTTCATCCAGTTCTGTGTTGTTTTCCCTCCCCGTTTGCGGGTCATTTTCTTCTCTTGTAAATGAAAACATTCCCTTCCTTCCCCCAGCGTCTCCTGCCTCCTGCCTCCGACCCAGTGAGGACTCGCTCTTTGAAAAGCAGGGCGTTCTTTTCTTTGGCACCGTGGAAGCTACATCCTGTTTGTTTGAATTTTTACTGCCCTCAGCACACAAAGTAAAGAAAGTCCATTACCAGAGATGTTAAACGTTCAAAGTAGGACCACTTGTAGGGTTTTGAAGAGCTCTGAAAATAATTCCAAGTTTTACTCAGAGATACTGAAGCACAAATTTCCACTGAAGGATTTAGAACAGTCTACCAAAAAAATAACTGAGCATCCTTGTGGCTCCTACAGAAATTCTTCGACCGTGGATCTGACTAAACACGATTTCACACGGGGTCGTCTGTGGAGTGGGCTGGAAGCCTGTGTCACTGAGGCGCCCAGTCAACAGATGCTTTTTGCTTACTTAGATTGATCAGAAATGGGTTTGCCTATATATTAATTAATACTGCTGGACTTAACAATACTCCCCTAGTAGTTATTGATTATTCAGTAAGGCACAGAATGTTATAAATGATTGTAGGATTTAAAATAAGTTACTCAACTAAATACCTAAAATATGTAATATATTTATAGGTGCTCATGGACTTCATTTTACCGATGAGGAAATCGATATGAGGAGGGTTACGCGACAGGGTCACGCGGCTTTTCGAAACTGGAAGCCGGGCCCCCAGTTCACTCCTCCTCCCGTGTTGCATGGGTTTCGTACAGTATTATTGAAATATAGTGTGATATTGAAATAGTGCCTTGCAAATGGGTACAAGACTACATAGCTGTATTAACCGTGGGCTATTTTAACAGTCTGATTAGACTGGGGAGCCATTTCTCACCTGCTCATTATCCCTGCTAAATGCTAGTGGACTTCCCCTCACCTGGTATGCCTCATTAACAATATCTAGTAACTATGTGTAATAATTCGTGGCTGCCAATAATAATATTTTACTCTTTGCAAAGGATTTGGGGAATATTTGGAAACTCTTTCTTTCTGTTGCTTTCATTTGTTTTTGCAAAGATAAAAAATGTATTAGGATAAAGTCCTAATATAATGATGTTGAATTATTTAAGAAAGACAAGAAAAATTGTACTCCTTATTATACTTTATTTTTTAAGTGAATAATAGTTGGGTAAAGAACTAAATTTCTGCTGAAATTATTTTTTCATAGCCTGGAGTAGGTTGATAAAATAAAATCCCATTAAATAACCTATAGCAAGAAAGATGTTAACCCACTTTGTCCCTAGAAATTATTTTAAACTTTTTAAATGACTGGAATGTGTTCTGGACTAATTCAGAGAATGAATTTTCATCACATCTAATTTAGAAAGACCCAGATAACCATTAAAATTATGTTGCCTTTGTAATTTTTTAAGTAAAAGCTTATTGAAGTATAAGATACATTTTTAAAAGTGTATGAATCACAAGGGAAAAGTTGATGAACATTATTTACATTCTAATTATTTGTTGCTGGTATAGAAACATACCGTTAATTTTCATTTTGACCTTGTACTTGATGATGGTGCTGACCCTACTCACTGAACTTCTTGAGGACATCACGTTGTTTGTGAATAAGGGCGGCTGTATTTTTCCGTTTCTGTACATATACCCATGTTTGTTGAACAACTTACTTGTGTGAAGACATGCAGGCATGTTTTCCTTTTCACTTTCTCCAGACAGAATGTTCTCACTGGTCAGGACGCACAGGCTGCTGGTCGTCCAGTTCCGGACTCGGGAGGCGCCCCATGAATGTCAGCGTTCCGCGTGGCTGACCGAGCCGCACGGTGCTCCTTCAGTCCGAGGTTGACATCTTCCGTCAATTTTGTAAAGTTCTTGGCCACCGATTTCTGAGATATTGCTTCTGCCTCACTCTTGCTTAGCCCCCTCCCCGAGACACAAATCACACCCACACACTGGCCTTTTCATTGCCGTTAAAAGTGTGTCTTCCATCCCCCACCCGTGAACCATTTTTCCTCTGTGCTGCAGTTTGAACGGCGCCTGCTCTTCATCTGTGCCTAGTCTGCCATGAACTCTACTTATTTAATTTTAAAAACATTCCTACTGTAAACTGTAACACAAGCACCCAAGCATGTACCACAGCTTATTCCAAAGCCGACAATCTGATTGCCCCCCTCGGGCTGGGCCCCCCACCCCCATCCCCACCCCCGCGGCACCTGCCTCATCATCACCCACTCCTGCCACGGCAGGGGTCCACATCTGGGGGTCATGATAATATCCACCTATAAGGTATTTAAAAACCTTCTATCTGTGTCAATAACCCAAGTGTGCACTCCAGACACAATGGCGCGGTTTTGCCCATCTCTCAAAGCGACGTCTTTCGAATCTCTGCTGCGCCGCAGACGTGCCTTTCTGCCTCCCTCACGTTTTATTTATTGAAGACACTGGGTCTGTGTTTCCTGTGGTCCCCCCAGACTGGCCGGGGCTGATTACACCCCCTCGGTATATTTTAGCATTTCGCTGTTCTTTGGGTTTTTAGTAAATTTTATATGGGTCCGGGGGCTTCATACTTTGACTTCCTAATTTCAGTTGCTGTATTTATGTCTGTAGAATTTCCATCCGACTCTTTTCAAAGCACATTCCCAATCTGCTGGAATTCTCCATCTTGTCGTGTCTTCTCTCAAACATCCTTCTCGTAATTAATTTGAAGTCAGTGCCTCATATTCCAGTAGTTGGGTCTTTTGCATGCTGATTTCTTTTCTCTTCATTTTTAGTTGTTTGCCTCTGTCTCATAGCATGCCCGGAGATTTTAAACATGGGAGCGAGGACTCCGGCCTCTGAGCGCGTCACCTTTCCTGCAGAGAGGGCTACTTTTGCCCAACAGCAAGCAGCTTGACTTAGAGAAGGGACCTGACCTGACCTACAGCTGTGCTGATGGGCACAGGCATTTATTTTCACGATCACTGATTGATCACTTGTTTGCCTTGATTCCAGTGACAGAGCCTTAGCTCTTCCAACTAAAAGCTGGGGCTGTTTGGCCGCCTCCTCCTGGCAAACCCCAGGCTCTGGAGGTTCCCATCAGAGGGTTCAGCGCTCTGTACTGTGATTCCACAACCGGGGCGGTGCCTGCCAGCCCTGTCGCTGGGGATGACTGAATTACCTGTTAAAGCTCCTGTAATCGGGCAGTTCTGCCTTCCCTTCCGGCATGAACAGTTTAGGGTGCAGAGCCTCCAACAGCTCCGGGTCGCTGCCGATGGCCTGCTCCCAGGGTGACTGGTAGTACTTGGGGACAGCTGTGGTGTTGAATCTCTCAGGAGGAATTTCCTTCAGTGGCCCAGAATATCCTTCGGAAAAACATGGCCAGGATGAGTAAACACAGAGCAACCGGGAGCCGCGGAACTCCACCTGGCATTCCACCCTGTTTAATTTTCATGAAGAATACATCCTTTTTATGACTTCTCCGGAATGAGAAGTCTGAAAGTGTTAGACATGTTTAAGCCCCTTTAAAGAAATTTTCAGAAGAAACCTCTTATCTTAGTACATATTTGCTCAGTGCGACTATTCATTTAATTTTAAATAATTGGGCCCCTTACGTTAATCAGCACAAGCCTTTAGAGGTCACAACTAACGAATTGACTCGAAAATATACACTGAGTGTCTCTGGTGGGCTGGGCTCTCGGGGAACAGCAACAGAGACAAAGTCTCCGTTGCCGAACTCCTGGCACAACTGAGAACCGTCTTCACAGGCACGGGGGCGGCACAGGCCCAGCCCTCCAGGCCCCGCCCTGCGCTCACCCTCCTGCGACCACTCGACCCACTGTGTCCGCCCTGAGTCTCTCCGCCCGGAGCTGCGCCTCGCACCCAGACCTCCCCCGCTGGGACACCCTGCCCTCGGTTTCCCTGGGCTCACTCCGGGCTCAACAACAGTTTCTGTGTCCCTCGGTCAAGCCATGCCTGTCCTTTCTTTACCGTGAATATCCACTCTGGGCAGTTCTGGTGGCAGTAATTTCACTTCCTTCTGAGTTCTGCCAGTGTGTACCTCTGTCCCCTGTGCAAGGCGTGCCTCTCGGACACTGGTGTCACTCAAAGCCCTTTTTTCAGACTGTACATTCTGCCCAGAAAATTCTATTCCTGCTCCTGACTCCCAGGGCGACCTGCACATCGGTGGTTCCAGGTTCCGATTTCGGCCCCCAGGCCCTTGGACTCCAGCACCTGCCACGTGTGTCCAGGTGAACGTGCCTGCACCCCGGACCGCCTGTCTGGGTCTCTGACACACCTGCCGCTTCCCCTGGGGGGTCACCTCAGCCATGCCCGAGACAGGAGCAGTGCCCCAACTCCCCTGCACCCCTACATCAGCTCACCAAGCAGTGCACCAGCCAGCCCCCCAAGGGCTCTAGAACAGTGCTCTCAGACGTCATGTCTCTGCACTGCCGGGGTCCCCTTGGAAACCCTGTTAGGCATCCAAATGCCGAGGGCTTTTCCCTCCAGACACCGGGCCCCTCAGTCTCAGGCAGGCTTACGGATCCTACACAAGTGGTTTGCAAGGGAAGTCAGGGACACTACTCTGGGGACTCCCTCCGTCCTCTGTATGTCCCACACAACCCCCTGGGTCGGCCCTGCCCATCCCCCCCTTTCCCAGGAGACTTTAGACTCATTGCTTAGCTCTCCACCCCTCCCCTGCACCCCCCCCACACTGCTGCCCTAGTGACCCGGCCACTGGAAAACTGGATCCTGTCACTCACGTCCCGAGGACACAAACGTAGCCAACTCAGCAGGGTGCATGTCCCCCCACTTGTCCGCCTGCCTCCCGACAGTCCCCTCTCGCAGTTTCTGCCCCAGAACTGTGCATCCACCTGGAGCTCGTTGCCCCTTGGCACCCTGACTTGTTCCATGTGCTCTGGCTGGAGACGGCCGTGTCCATGTGGCCATGGCCGCCTCCCTGTGTCTCTTGCGTAGCTGGTCCAGGGCCAGGCATGCAGACGGCCGGCATTTGCAAATCTCACCTTTTCAAATGTTTCTTAAAATCCCACCAACCTGACACCATTGTTTCATTTCTATGTATTCCCCCCAGTTTGTCTTCACTCGGTACCTGACCTGGATTTAATTCTTCATCAGTCAGTACTGACGCACAGTCATTCGCTAACCTCAGTCTCATCTTGTAAAATGCAGGTTGTAATGAGCGTGTGGAGGAGTTTACAGGGGAAGTAAGGAAGATATACATATCGCTTCAGAAACTTGCCCATTTCATACAAATGGAATTTCAGTGTAATTCCAGATGACCTCATTTTCACCGTAACAGGTGATCGCCCACAGATGCAATGGGCCGTCTGGAAGGACAGAAGTCTGCTGTGCCTGTTCCACGTGGCTCCTTGTGGTCTAAATATTAACATCAACTTCATGTTTACCCACAAATACAGGGTGGGCAAAAATAGGTCTGCAGTGGCCCATAGGGAAAACATAGATATGAATAAAGAATAACACAGAAACAAACCCTGGTTTTGTGAGCTCCCCAGCATAAACCTCCCCTTGCCCACCCCAGACAGTGAGACAAACTGTGTCCCTTCGATGTCATTGACCGAAGGATCCAGTGGCTTGAGCCAGACGTCTAAAAAGGACTGTATTGCTCTGTTTGTCAGGGGATGTGTTACCTGGTGCGATGCTTTCCGGATTCGGGGGGCTCCTCGGATCCGGGCTGTTGGGAGGGGTGAATGGGGCTTGCTGCGAGCCACCGTCCGCGGGGCTGCCGTCCACCTTCCCGTTCTGCACGGCGAGGCTGTACTGTGTTTGATCAGAAGGGAACTCTGCTGAAAACTCAGAAGTGTCGGACATGCCACCAGAGACACCTATGTGCCCCCACTCACATAGTCAGGGTTCAAGCACAAGGTCGCTTCCTTGTTTCCTGGGTCATTTACACGGCCACTGGCTGAGCTGTTGGCTGAGAATCTCCCTGAAAATCGATCTAAGACCCAGTTTGTGATGACGGCCCACTTACTGTGTGCCAGGCGCTGTGTCGGGGCTTCGTGCCGACCATTTAATTTAGTATTCGCTGCAGGGTCCCCATAAGGCAGGTCAGTTCAGGTCTGAAGCTGTCGCTGACCTAATGCGGAGCTCGCTGGGTACTCGTTGGTTAAGCCACTGTCTCATTACCGTGTTATTTACAGTGGGGATTGAATTAGATTCCCTAATACACCTTGTTTTAAAATTGTATCTGATTGAACACCAGTCATGTGTCATAAAAAATGCACTTTAAATGGTATAAACTTACAGAAGGAAGGATTTGGGATTTCAAGAAAACAAAATGCCTGAAAGATATTTGTCTTTAAGTTTTAGGTGCACTTGTTTATTATTATAGCTGAGGATTTATTCTATAGCAATAACAAAGCAGTTTAAAAACAGTCTGTTTGCCTTTTAACAGAGAAAACAGACATTGTAACAGGTTGTGTCCTCACAAGTACAACTTAACTAAAGCATTCTTTTATTTATAAATGGGAAACACATTTCTTTTTTCCAAAAGCCAATCTACAATATATATAAAAAGTGCATAAAGTCAAATTAGTTTTTAAATTTACTAAAGAACATAGCAGATAGGCAGAAAATATTTTAACACTTTTTATTTCTATATTTACTCATATGGTGAAGCACAATTTTATATTTTAATATGTGACTTTGTAGAATGTGAGAATAAAAGAGTATTTTTGTCCTAAAACCCAAATACTCACCATAATTACAGGCTGTAAGTTAAGGGCCTCACCTGAGGAGTGCTGTAATTTGTGCCAAATATACGGTAAGATGTATTCTTTGGACATGATGAGAACATATTCAGAAACCCTGTATTTAGTTTGGCCTCATTTCAGAATTATTTTTTATAGTATACTTTCCCTTCTCCCAATATTATGTCAGATTTCCAGGGATTTCAGAAAGTCCCTGGTTACTAAACACAGGTCGTCTGAACTGTGAGATGTGGATGTTTTGCTGAATTACCATCCTGCCCTGGGTTGGGGGGGAGAATCGTGACTGTTCTGAGCCACACTTCTGCTCTATCCCCCACCACCAAGTAGAAGATTTCCCTCCGTTGCCTTTCCTGCCCTCTCGGGTGTGCAGTGGGCTCATCCACCAACCGGAGCTCCAGGGCGGACTTGCCCGGAGAGCCCGGGGCCTGGCCTCCCTTTAAGAATGAATGTTCGTTTCCTGTTTCCACTATTTCCGTCCCAGATGGTGGCCTGGCTAGAACCGGCCAGTTTCTGAGCAGCAGACTTCGCCCACAACTGCTCTTACGTTTTTGTTTGTTTGTTTTTAAAACGATATTTAATATTTGAGCAAGTGGCACAGGCCACTAGGAAGGGAGTTTGTCTGTTAATAGCATGTTTGTTTGTTAATAGCACGTTATTTAGGGGACATTTGGCGCCAAGCGTTCTGTCCTCCCTGGTGGTTCTGTGGTTGACAGGCAGCAGACCTCCCCCCACAGCGCGGAATCCGAGCCCAGGAGGCCCAGGGGGCTGCGGTGCCCAGGCCCCTGCAGAGCCTCAGACAGTGCTTGCTCCCGGATGGCTGCTTCGCGCCCCGCGCTCTGGCGGCGTGTCCATCCCCCACGCCCCACTGGCCGTGACATGACTACAGCCCGGGGGGCACCCCGCCCCCCACTGCCTCCCCTGCTCCCAGTGGAACACACGGGGCACTTCAAGTGCCGAGTGGGCCACTCAGAGTGTCCCCATTGAACTAAAAAGGGACTCAGACAGAATATTTCTCCCCTTTACCCACCGGAATGACACACACACACACACACACACACACCCCACCCCACCTCCACCCCCGAAAAACCAAACCACCTCCACCCGACAGGAGCACCCGTTGGGGAACCCGCGAGCGCGCGCACGCTCCCAAGGGCTGCCCGTGCCCCCATGCCACCAGGTGCACCTACATCCATCTGCGCTTTCGACTGGTACTGCACGTTCTCGAACGTGTACTTGTCGGACCGCCGCTGCCGCATCTTGAAGAGCCGGGCCCCGCGGTTGTGGAGATGGGACAGCTCCTCCAGCATGATGTCCCTGGGGACGCTGACCTTTTTGCCCAGGTCCATGCCATCCACGTCTGGAAAGTGACACACGCGCGCGTGAGAACATGAGGGAGCGTTTCCGCTGCTTCCCACACCCCGCGCCTGCCGCCTGCCCCCTGCCCCGCGGGGTGTGTGGCCTGAGACGGGGGTGTGGTCTGAACGGGGGTGTGGTCTGAACGGGGGTGTGGCCTGAGACAGGACTGCCCTGGGCCCCAGTCCAGGCTCCACTGCATCCTAACCACGTGATCCTAGATAGGCCACCTGCTTCGTCTAAGCCTCAGTGTGTGTGCTCATCTCTGAAATGGGGCTTGTAGAAGTCAGACCTAGCCTGTGGGGCTGAAGTGAGGGTTAAATACAATGCTGCGTTCAAGGCCCTTCGCATGGCACCCGGCGCACAGAGTGAGTGAAAGCAAGCTGCCATCAGTAGAGGTAGAATTCAGTCTTTTTCTGCACGGTGAGCTTTCCAACAGCCCCGCATGGAGTTCTTTAATGAACTCCCGGGGGTTCCCCACATTTTTAGGCACCAGTCCCAGCTGGCCCGTTCCTGGGAGGCCCACCCTTTCACCCATGCCACCCCCTTTTCCTGCCGCTGCCCAAGTACTAGGCATTCTGCATGCGGCGCCCAGTACCCAGGAGCCCTGCTCGCTGGAGGCGGGTGGTGGGTGCAGAAGAATCAGACCCTGCCGAATCCAGTGCAAGGGCTGCTTCTGTGGCTCCCTTCCCCAAAGCCTCTGCTCATGGCTGCTCATGGCTTCGCTGCGTCCCCACAGCACTGAAGAACAGCGACTCCGGTCGTTCACATATCCTACCGTTTGAACTTTATGTTTCGGTCTTTGTGTCTCCCACGCGTTAAGTATAGTGGGCTCACTCCAGAAGTCGGAAAGATACCAGGAACATCTCCAAACCCTCTGGACCTAAACGACGCCACTTCTAAATAATCAATGGGTCAACGAGGGAGCCATCGGGGAAAGAAAGAGTTCCGTGAGCTGAGCGAGAAGGGAAACAGTATCGACACGTAGGGGACACTGCTCACACGGTGTAGGAGGGGCATTTACAGCGCCGAATGCGAACGTTACAAAAAGAGGAGGAGTCTCAAACCAGTGATCTGAGCACTACCCCGGAAGTGTGGAAAAGATAAATCCAAGGCGGCAGCAGTAAAGAATGATGGGGATGGGAGCAGGGGTTGGAAACAGAAAAGCAACAGAGAAAAGCCCCTGAACGTGGAGTCGGGTCTGGAACAGATCGGGGGAACGGACAATCCTCTAGTTACGCTAACAAAGGAAAATGTAGGAGACACAGGTCACCCACATCCGGAACAAACCAAACTGTCACTAGAGATGGTACCTGGAGCGAGTGGACAATGAGACACCACTGCAAACAATTCTACACATAAGTCCACGCAAATTGGAAAACTTGGGAAACTTGGCCGATTTCTTGAAAAGCACAGAGTACCACCCGTCGCCCAGTCTGGAGTAGTTAATCTAATCATCTCTGTGTCTACAAGGCCAGTGGGTTCATACATTGAAAATGTTTCAGGAAAGTACGTAACCTTTGGGGCTAGATGGACTCACTGGAGAATCTGCCACTCGAGGAAGAACTCGTGCCAGTGCCGCAGAGCCTCGGCCTGAGGGGGGAGAAGAGGGAAGAGGCCCCAATTCATTGTGAAGCCAGTGCGACCCTGACCCTAAACTGAACAAGGTCAACAGACCAAAGGCCACCAAACAACATCCCCCAGGCATAGAGAAGCGTCACACCAGCAAACGGATTAAAAAATAGTTCTGCACCAGGAGCAAGTGGGCCCCCCCAGGGTGGGATACTGGTGCCACATTCCGAAACTAATCGGCACCGCCCACCAGCCATCTCACAGGCTAAAGAAGAAAGGTCACGTGCCCGCACCCTCGGGACCCAGGGTTGGACACGGTGTTGTTCTGGTGAACACGGAGGGCACAGTCCACTGAAGAGTGAACGGATCCATTGGACTTTATCAACATCGACGACTTTCATTCTGAGAAAGATTCTGCCAAGGGGATGAAAGACACGCTACAAAATGGGAAGGAATGTTTACAAAACACAGGCTGGACAAGAGGCTAGAACGTGCGAGGAACTCGAAAAGCTCATGGGTCGGAAAGCAAATGGAAAGCCAACGGTCCCACAGAGCGCAGGCAGGAGGCAGGAAGAGCTTTTTCACCGAGAAAGGTGTGGGATGACCAGGAACGAAGGAGAAGGGAGTCGGATCCTTATTCAAATTAGAATTGAAACGGCCACGAGCTGTCACTCTGCACATGGCAGAGTGGCCAAGCGGGGACACAGGGACGGGCCCTATGCCTGTCGAGCGTGTGGGGAAAGTGGTCACCCCTGCAATGCTGTTGGGACGGAAAAGGGGGGCAGCCGCTTTGGGGAACCATTCAGGAGGTTCTGTGTGAAACTGAACGTGGAACTACCAGCACCCTGGGCGTTTACCCCAGCGACATCAAACGTACGTTCACACGAAAACCTACCCGCAAATGCTCTCGGCAGCTTTAATCTTAATAGTAATAAAAAACAGAATAATGAAATATCTGGTGGAAACTATGTAAGGTCCTCAAACAGCACATCTCTTCCCGGGTCTGCACGCAGTGTCCCCTCCATGGCGGCTTGAAACTGGCCTTGGTGAGAGTAATTTGCACCCCAGAAATGAGCAAACTCTGCAAGCCAAGGCACGCCGCACCCCCAAGAACCAGTAGTTAAATATTTACCAGCATACTGCTAGACATGGGTATATGCTAAGTCAACACATCTTGCACAAACAACAAAAGACATAGACTCAATTCTCCAATATCCCCTCCTCCCCTTCCAACGGTAACTGTGATGTGGCCAGAGCGGGAGTCAGACCACCTGCGAGGGGAGACTCTAGCGATGGGCACTCTTGTCCTTTAAAATTTCTGAGTGAAGGAGGCTGTCAGCTGGACCCTGGAGTCCAAGGTCAGCTGTTCTGAGCCCTTTGCTGGAACTGCTGTGCAGGGTCTTAGCCATGTGCCTGGATCGGATGCCTGATAAGTGATATAACTTATTCAGGATACGCGTCCATGACCTCATGCGTTCGAGGGCTGCCTTGGTGGCATTAGCTCATCTTTTGAAAATAATATTCCTGGGCATAGTTTCCTACTGATGTCATGGATCCTGATGCAGAACTTCCCACATGTTCTTTAATCATTTCATAGAACTTCATCTATTATATTTTGCCACTCTTTCAAGGAAACCAGTGATTAACTTTGAGTAAGTATTTAATTATAAAAGGATGTCAACATAAAGCTTTAGGGTCTCAACCATAATCAAAATAATTTCCATAAAAAACACACAGTTTTTAACCTACTAGAAACATGAAATAATTCTTACCAATATTCTTCCTCTTTAGTGTCCTCAAATGTACGCCGTTTTTATAGTTGAATTGGGATTTAAAATCTCACACTAAAAAGTTCACCTATTTCAATCCTTGGGGACACGCCCTTCCACTTGTCACACTGTGGAGCCGCGCTGCGGTGCGGACTACGAGCCCGGTGAAAAGCCTGCTTTCCCGGGAGGAGGGCAGCGGCCCCCGACGGACACTGGGACCAGCCGCCTCTCCGGCCCTAACTGCAGTGTGGCTCCCGGGGGGGTGGGGGCCCACAGCTTAAACCCCTCAGCGGAAACTTTCTGTGTTTTCACGCTGCTTTCGGAGATGAACAGTCTGAGACCGAGCCTGCAAAGATTTCCCTGCGCCCAAGCGGTTCTGTGTTTTTGGTCGGAAATTCTGACCCTGCCAACGTCACAGGTTGAGGCAGATCAGCAGACTCACTTCACGCTTTGTAAAGATACCCATGTACAGATCCCTGTAGGGAGACAAGACGGCTTTCAAGACGGTTTCCCACGATGCCCTGGCAGCTCCAGTTCCAGCGGAATGGGCAGACCCCTGGAGGGGAGCCCCTGAAACCGGCTGGCTGCGGGGGTCCGTGGGTTCACTCGGCAGCCTGACTGAGGCCTGGAGGTTTTCTCGTTGCCTACCGACCATCGGGTCTCTGTGGGCTGGACGCCTACCCGTGAAATGTACGCTGTTGCAAGACACAATGCCCTCTGTAAATGCCAACAGTATAGGCTGTGATTGCGAGTAATGTCTGAAAAGACTGCAATTGATGAAATGTGTACTAACAATTTCCCCCATATTAAAAAGTTGATACAGATAACTAATAATTCATCATTATTATATTTAATCATTAAACCATTATCATTTGATGACTGTGTGAATCTGCAGACATTTAAGATATGAGGTCCCTGTGCACTGAGTCACATGAACAGGATGGCCCAGCACTGTTACTTGGGTGCACACCCGGAGCACCTGGGCGTGAGGAAGACCACGCCAGGAGGGTGGAGTGGGCGGCCAGCTCCGAACACCTCCGCTTCAGCTTGGACGTAAACTGGACCTTGGCCTGGTCCCCCGAGCTGCTTTCCGGGGGGGGGGGCTTCTGAGAGGGTCAGAGTCTGCAGCCTGCTCAGAACTTCTGTGGGCTCACTCCCTGTCCCTGCACTCCACTTTTCAAGGTGAAACGTCTCTGCTGTAGGGTTAGGAGAAGTTTTAAACCAGAAACCACCTGACAAACTTGTACACTAAACCATTAGGTTATCTTTCCAGCCCCAGATTTTGCTCTGTGGCACTTACGGCCTTCCTGGTGCCCTTATTTCGACATTCGTGACTTGATTAATTCGGATGTGTTTGTTACCCAGGACAAGTAAAAGGTCCTCCCGTAATCTTCCCCCTGAAATTCAACCTTTCATACCCCGTCCTTCTCAAAGGGCTCGTGCAGCTTCTGTCAGTGCCTCTGCTGCCCGTGTCACTGGGGGAGAAACTCAATACACTGACGGCGGACGCGGGCCCAGAGCCCGAGAAAGGGGCCGCGTGGAGGCTGAGAGTGAGCCACGCGGCACCACCAGCCCAGCCCGCCTGCTGCTCGACCTGCGCCCCGCGCTGAAGCGAGGCCCGGCCACCTGAGAGCGCCCAGCGAGCCTCCTGCTGCAGCGCAGAAACAGCCTGTTTGGTCCTCCTCTGCACGAGGGGAAGAGCCGGTCACCGGTCACAAGGGGAAAAAACGAAAACATACCAAAAAAGAAAGCGAGCCCCGTGGGGCCCAGGTGAGGACACGGAGGGTGACGGAGCAGCCTCTGAGGTCTGGGGCCTCCCTGCTTCCGAGACTCTCCTTCCTCCTGCACCGCCAAGCATGACGGTGCCTGCGTCTGGGGGCCTCAAGCTGCCACTTCTCCCAGGCGCTGTGTCCCCAGGCCCGGCCCGCTGCTGCTGGACCAGCGCCAGGAGGTCCCGCACTTCTCAGTTCATGCCCCTGTCAACATCCTCTCTGCCATCGTCCCTCTGTCCTTCCCCCTTCTCCCTCACCAGTCAAGTCTCAGTGGACCGAGTGCGGTAGAGGAGGCTGCTTAGCAGGCAGAAAGCTCCAGATTCAGGAAGAGAGCCACCTGCCCCAGCCCTGCAGGGGGCTCCCACACTGACGAGGGCGGTTCTGCTCGTCTTACGATGTCGCGCTGAGATGGTGTCGACACGGCCCTGACACCTCCGTGCAAAACGCAGAGATTTGGTGTCATCATAGTGACACAGGATGGTGACCCCCATCAGCTCTGCTGCTCCTAACACTGACAATGACCACAACGTACTAACAAGGACGGCCCTGCAGAAGCAGGCGACCCTAGGGTCACAGACGCCTCTGAGTAGTTACAGGTCGGGGGTGCGGTGTGTGAGCCTCTGGGACACGAGTTGACTCGAACACAGTGGGTCCGGAGTGAGTAGCAGTTGGGGTGTAGTGAGTAGAGGCTGGGAGTACACGTTTTTACTACTTATGTCTAGTTTTATGTGTCTTAGTCTACACGGGTAGGATTTCCAGCGGCTCCCCGAGGCCATTTCTCCTGCAGATGGATGAGCGCTCTGACATGAAACCGGGAGGAACAACCGGGGAGTGAGACAGACCGTGCCGCCCAGGGTTCAGCTTGGGGAAATAAAGCCTCAAACCTCCGACTGAAAACACCTCTGGGGGTTGCAGCAGCGGGAGACACTCCCAGCCTCACAGAAAAGTTCACTGGGGTGTCCTAGAACGTACACAAGCCCACCCACAGGGGCACCAGCACCAGAAGGGCCCAATTTGCTTGTGGGCAGTGGGGGAAGGGACTAAAGCCGGCAGAGAGCCAAGCAAGAGACACTGTTCCGTCTCGGACCCCTCCCCCACACACAGCATCACAACACAGTCACATGGGTTACCCCGCCCTGGTGAACACCTAAGGCTCTGCCCCTTATACGTAACAGGTGTGCCAAGAAACAAACAAACAAAAAATGGCCCAAGTGAAAGAACAGATCAAAGCTCCAGAAAAAATACAACTAAGTGAAGAAGAGTTAGCCAACCTATCAGATGCACAGTTCAAAACACTGGTAATCAGGATGCTCACAGAAATGGCTGACTACGGTTGCAAAATAGAGAAAAAAGTGAAGGCTATGAAAAGTGAAATAAAGGAAAATGTACAGGGAACCAACAGTGATAGGAAGGAAACCGGGACTCAAATCAACAATTTGGAGCAGAAGGAAGAAATAAACGTTTAACCAGAACAGAGTGAAGAAACAAATATTGAAAAAAATGAGGAGAGGCTTAGGAACCTCCAGGACAACTTAAAACATTCCAACATCCAAACCATAAGTCTACCAGAAGGAGAAGAGGAAGATCAAGAAATTGAAAACTTATTTGAAAACATAATGAAGTACTTCTCTAATCTGGGAAAGTAAACAGTCTTCTAGGAAGTACAGGAAGCTCAGAGATTCCCAAAGAAGCTGGACCCAAGGAAGCACACACCGAGGCACATCACAATTACACTACCCAAGATTAAAGAGAAGGAGAGAATCTTAAAAGCATCAAGAGAAAAGGAGACAGTCACCTACAAAGGAGTTCCCATCAGACTGTCAGCTGATTTCTCAAAAGAAACCTTGCAGGCAAGAAGGGGCTGGAAAGAAATATTTGAAGTCCTTGAAGGCAAGGACCTCCATCTAAGATGACTCTATCCAGCAAAGCTATCATTTAGAATGGAAGGGCAGATAAAGTGCTTCCCAGATAAGGTCAAGCTGGAGAAGTTCATCATCATCCAGCCATTATTATATGAAATGTTAAAGGGACTTATCTAAGAAAAAGAAGAAGGGACTTATCTAAGATAAAAAATGTGTATAATAAAATGACAACAAATTCACAACTATCAATAATCAAACCTGAAAAAACCAGAACCAAAAACAAACTAAGAAACAACTAGAATAAGAAAAGAATCAGAGGAATGGAGATCACATGGAGGGTGACAGTGGGGAGGGGGAGGTGAGTAGAATGGGGGCAAAGGTACAGGCAATAAGTAGCATACACGGTAGGTAGAAAATAGACAGGGTGAGGTTAAGAATAGTACAGGAAATGGAGAAGCCAAAGAACTCATATGTATGACCCATGGACATGCACTGACAGGGGGCTGGGGGGTGAGGAGGATGTGGGTGGGAGGGGGTGTGCAGGGTGGAGGGGAATAAAGTGGGGGGGGATGGGACAACTGTAATAGCATAATCAATAAAATATATTTTAAAAATTCCCGATGCACAAGGGAAGGAGAGGCCTGAAAACGTTCCTCTCTGTTCATTTTTGCGATGGTCAGACCGCTAAAACAGCTGCACACTCATCTTCAGTCACCCAGGTGCCACCCTGTGCATGCGTGAAGGGTTGGACGGCTGTCCCAGGAAGGTCTCTGCCACCAGGTCTCTTTTCCACATCCTTAGAACCAGGGTACTGCCCGAAGCTCCAGGTCCCCAAACACTGGGTCCAGAGCAGACAGTCCCCAGGAGGTGCCAGCGGGCACGGGAGAGGGACTGAGTTATGCCACTTTATGACACACTGCAACGGGGTTACGGGAGGTGAGCTGGACAGCGTCTGCGATGATCCCTGTGTTATCTGGGGCCCTGTCACTCCAGACAAAGGCAGGGCATGTGACTCCACTCCCAGGGCCTGGACTCCCCCAGGGACAGGGGGCGGGGGCCTCTGGGGACTTCGAGTGGCTGGGACCCACTGGGGCTGAGACTCTAGGGTTGAAGGGCTCCCCCCCTTGACATATGACTGTCCTTTTGTATTTCACAAACACACAAGTGAGTCTGTATAGAAAAAGAAAAAGGCATTCTCGCCCTATATATAGCTCTGTGTCTGGACTAACACTAAGACCCAACATGTGATTTGAACTGGGAATTCATTAGATGGGTCGACTGATCTATGATTTTGATGCAATGAGAAAATAACAACTTATCTCAGGTCTAGTTTTAAGGTAAATAATTCAGCCTCAAACCCCAGTGATCATCTTATTTTTGCCATACTGACCAAGAAAACTGTAGAAATAATCTCAAGTAAACTGCCTGAAGCTGCAAATACCAAGAAACATATATACATTTTAAAGAAGCGTGCATTCTGAGACTCTGGATCCTGGGAAGTCAGTCCTGAATTCCGATCCAGAATGATTCCCACGTTAGGCCGAGCTGGGTGGACATCGTAGAACATGGGAGCGGGCTGGGGCCCAGGGCCCTGAGTCTGCCTCGCAGAAGACAGAACACGTGGCCACAGGCCCCTCCATGTAACAGCGCTGCCTGGTAACCACGGCACAGGTGACCATCGCTCCACCTCCTCCAGGGGAGGGGGCTGGCCGTGATGCGCTAGCTACCCTGTCCCCGCTGCCCCTCCAGGTCTCACGTTTCTAGGTCTCAATGACATTCAGGTGGAAGGTCACCTGCCTTGTCCATGGAGCAGGGACAGGGCACTCCGAGAGCTGCACGGGCATCTCTGGAGTGGCTCAAGTCCGCCCGTGAAAGGACATTCCACTCTCTGCCACTGGACATTGGTGCCACCCTCGGCCCATGAACACCACTGGACTTCCTTTACATCAACCAAAATGCATCTGTATATGGCATCGCTTTCTGGGTGTTTGGCTAGAACTTAAAGGAAAAGGAGAGTGGACAATGTTTATGTTGGGATTTTTTTTGAATCATAGGCTTTGAGACTACAAAAACTTTATACTGTCCTAGAAATTATAAATAAAAGCAGATTCCCACACAATACATATCTTGGTCAATTAATTACTAAATTTGATGACCGGTTTCAGGGTTAAAGACGTTTACGATGAATATGAATTCCAACTTAACTGTGTTTGGTTAAAAAGAAGGACGATAGAACACATTTTGAGTGGTTCGTGTGCTAAGAGGGGACGCAGACCCAGATTTGTGCGTGGGATGAACAGGGAAGACGAGCGTGAGGTCCACCCGGAGGGAGAGAAGGCGGGGAGCAGAGAGCCGTCCGCCCGGCGCACATCAGCTGTCAGGCGGCTCCATTCCTGCAGAGCAGTTGCTCATCTGAAAATAGCTTCCAGATGAGAAAGGAGGGCTACAAAAGAATCCTCGGCCACGGGCCTCCCACCCCTGCAGCTCCGGCTGCCGTGACCGAAGACCGAGGGTTTAAAGGTCGTCGGCCAGGGATGCCCACGTGAGGGAGGGCGCACGTTAGCACGTTCGGGCCACACGGGGCGTTACTGGTACCGTGTCCGTGGGCCTCCTTGGCGATGGCGGACGCTTGCTGCTTCCTCTGCCTCACCATGGCGCTGTGTGACAACATGGCCCTCGGTCCGTCCCCTGTGAAAGGACACCAGGGTGAAGCAGCAGGAGGAACCCGACCTTTTGAAAGAGAGCATCTTTGTTCTTTACGGAGAATCAGTCATCGCTTTCCACGGAAAGACTGTGGCGTGTGTTCTGCCCTGAGACACAGCCTGTGCGTGGTGGATGGGCAGCGTCACCACGACCAGGGATCAGGTGTGTCTGTGTCCCATCGCACTGGCCTCGGGGCCCAAAGGGCTGGCCACCCCCACCCCCGCTCTCTTCTCCAGCTTATTTCTCTCTGCCATTGTGTGCCCCCCGGCCCCCCAGTGTTACCAGCATCCATCAGCACACCAACCCCTGCAAACTGTGACAATGGAGAAATGATACCGGATCACACCAGAACGCTTGGTGGTGACACTTTAAAATCGGCATCAACAGCTGTCCTTTGAAGCGAAGAATGCCCATTTATGAGTCACAGCTCTGAACACCCTAGGACAACTGAGTAATAAAACATCTTAGGGAACAAGACACCCACCTTGCTCTGAGCCCGTGCTCGCCGGCAGGACGAGCCCCGAGGTGAGGAGGCGAGGCGGGGGCCGCGGAGAACGGGTGGCTCGGCCGGTGGGTTTTATTCCCGAACCTCAGACGGCATGGTCCTCACTCTGCCTCCAGCTGGGGACTGAGCCTCTCTGCAGGGACCGCCGTCCCGCTGACATCAACCGACTATATATAGCACCAAATACTTCAGCGACTCATATCTTCCTGGCGAAAGAGAGGAACAGAGAAAGATTAGGCTCTCTCCATTGTGTCCCTGCTCGGTGGGACGGCCGAGGGGACGGCCGGCGGGGTTTTGTGGGCGCCGTCTCCCTTGGGAGAGGTGGCAGCGGAGAGGGATTTGAAGAACTTTTTAATATGTAGCTCTAATGCTGGATCTTAATTGGGACGGCAGGGCAGGTGACTGACAATGCAAATGGACCTGTGGACAATCAAGAAGAAAGCAAGCGATGCAGGTGGACCGGCACAGCCATCCCTGGGCTGGGCTGAGAAAATGGGTGACATTTGTTCGGTGAAGGGGGGAGCATTCTGAAGTGGACATTAGGTGCTGAGCCCTGGGCCTGTTGAGTAGAATCTGAGACGCCAGCGGGGGCCAGCTTTTGGAGGAGGCCCTGCAGAGAGCCGGGCACACACAGCGGCTGTCTGCGCCGGCTGGGGGGCCGAGGATCCTTGCCCGGGAGGAGGGCGGCTGTGCCGTCTCCTTGCCGGTCTGGGGGACGCAGGAGCATCCTCGCACCTCTGAGCATCTCCCACCCTCATGGCTCTGTCACGCGTGTACGACCCATGGGTCTCAGGGGTCCTCCTCACACGGCCCGTCTGAAATACCACAGGGGGCCCCCCTCCAGCCCCTCACTCTGCTTCACATTCCTTTCTGTTTTCATACATCTTGTTGGCTTTGGCAGAATGGTTTCTCCCTGGAACCGAATGAATACCTTCAACAAAAACACTGCTCTAGAAGAGACTGTGGTGGGTCAGCCTGGCCCGGCCCTCTGCCCCCTTGCCCGCCAGGTCCTCTGACCTGCCACCAAAGTGCGCAGCCCGCCTCGGTCTCGTAGCAAACAACTCTCTCCCGAGTGGCCACTTATCTGATCGAAGTCAAATGACAGAAAACGCCCAAAACACAGACACCGTCGACAGTGAAGGCTGTTGTCCCACCACAGCTCAGTCTGGGGGACACCACGTAGCGTTGGTGGGACGGACGCACCGCCAGGGGCTCGGTCACCCGCTGACAGTTGCTCCATCGTCCCTGCAACGCAGACCCCTCGGGCCTCAGTGGCGTCTGCAGCTCCGGTCAGCGTTTCGTGGTTTAATCGGCAGTAAGCGGACGCGATGAGCCAGGCTCAGCGTCCCTGCTCCGGAACACGGCCTGACGGGGCCCGAGCCCCGTCCCTGCCTTCCCTCTGGCCGGACCGTAGTCACAGAGCCACGCAGGGCTCAGGACAGGCAGCAACGGTGACGATTCTGTGTGGCCGTGTGCCTGGCTAAAACTCAGAGGTTAGCTGACCGGCAAAGCAGATGGACAGCTACTGGGAGTCAACGCTTAGCTTCTGTCACAAGGACACAGTCACATTATTTTACCTGTTGTCTGTCCGTCTGTCTATCCGCCCAGCCATCCACCCATCTGTGCAGTATCTGTTTCCTGCTAAACCATGACCACCAGGGGGGCCTGGGCTTTGCACACACCTTCGGCAGCAAGGATGGATGGCGTCCAGTCCCCGGGGCGCTCGGTTCTCACCAAACACAGGGGCGCATGGAGATTAACGGTGGGACGCGTCGTCACGGGCACTGTAAGGATGCGGCAGGGGTGTGGCGTCCTCTTTCCCGTTGCGCCCAATTCTTGGGTGACAGTAGGGACCAGATATGTGGATACTCCGTGAGCATGAGAAGATGGTGCCGCTCGGGAGAGAACTGTCCTCTGTGAGACGGAGGCAGGTTGTGTGCACTGTGGGGTCAGGTCAGGGGACCGGGCGTCGAGGGGGCTGAGGGCGGGGTCGGGCTGACCTACCGCAATCGCTTTGGGGCCGATGTTCACGCCGACTGTGCGAATTAGCTTCCGCAGAGAAACGGGTTTACCAAAGCTCCCGAGGTTAAATTCCGTCTTAAGGCCCTTCCCTGGTCTTTATAGTCCAGGCTTTAGCGTTTACTGTCGTCTGCTTTTCAGCTAGTCTCTTACATTCTTAGTGTTTTTCATCCATAAAGTGGAGATTACAGCCTCTGCCACACAGTGTCACGGACACTTCACACGTGATAATTTTAGAAATTCCTGATGGTTAATAAAAGTTTAATACTATTTATTATTATTATTATTCCTGAAGTGTGAAAGGACTTAGAACCCTAACAAAAGCAGCGAATTATTCAGGAAAAACTGCGAACATCCTCAGCAGGCCCCGGTTTTCCTGTCGGTCCCTTCGGAAGGTTCCAGCCTCGTCTTCTCAGTGGCACAGGTTGAGGTGCTCCTGCTAATTTTGGTTTCCAAATTAAAAGATGTTTTAAATTTTTTAAAAAATATATCGGCCTACTTGTGTTTATTTTTCAATTACACTCAGAACTGTTTTGCCTTATTTTTAAGCCCCTTTCCACACCTCTCTGATAGCTTCCGGTGTCTGGTGCCATCTGTTCCGGAAAAAGAAGAAAGACACCCCGCACCTCGGTTCTTGGGCGGCGTCTGCTCTCCCTGAGCTCGGGGACACAAGGGCTCCATGGGAACGGGGACGATGGTGGCCTGTCCCGGGAGCCGGAGCGTCTCCATCGGGAATCGAGTCGCAGTCTGCGAAGTTCCATTCCACCTGCAGAGACCTGGGGCAGGTCGGCTGCCCCCAGGTTACACCCCCTCCAACTCGTCAGGGTGCTCACCCCTCCCTTGGTCCGAAGCCCTGCCCTCTGATCCCCGGGACCCAGCACCGCCCCCTACATGCTCTGCTTGCCGCATGGGCCCCAAGTGTGGGACCTCAGCGCCCACACCTGGCTCGTCTTGATGATCATTCTTGTCCCAGAAGCTCCCCCTCACCTGCTCTGAGCAGAGAAGAACTTTGTGTTCCCCTCAGGGCCCAAAGCAGGTCACATTAGTTCCCTCGAAGGGTGAAGGCGAGGAGGGCTCTTCTCGTAGGCAAAAGCAGGGGTGCTCGGGGTGGGGGGGGCCGTGGCGCCTCGGGGGGCTGCCAGGCAGGATGGTGTTGGGTGCAAAGCTCAGCCAGCCCCTGTGACCAGACTCCCTGCTGCTGGGGTGGCCTGGGGTGCGTGGGCAGCCCCCTCACCACTTTCAAAAAGAAAGTTGGAATGAGATGGATTTTGCCCCCTGACAACACCCCCCCCCCCCGGGGGACCCGTGAAAGACAGCCTTGTTGGGCCAGGGCTGACAGGGCCCACACTCCTCTGACCGGCACTGGTGTGGATGCCGGTTCTCTTCCTCCCTTTCCATCTGTACTCGGTGGCTGTGGGCAGCTGGAGGTCAGAGCCAGATGGTGGGGGCGGGGGAGGGGTGGCGGAGGAAGTGGGTCCAGGGGGCCGAATGTGGGGACCAGCTGTCCGAGAGGTGGGTAGAAGGCACATCAGCACCACTGAGGCTCAGTCCTGGACGGGCGCACGCCTCGTCCAAACGGGGCCGCTGCCAGGCCTTGGGCGGGGTCTGACCATGGGGGAGGCATTGAGGGGGCGGCCTGCTGAGCTGCCCATGGGCCTGGGCTGAGTGTCCCCCCAGCGGCTGGGCGGCCTGCCACGTCACCGTGGGGGCTGTTTCCTCTGCGGAGGAGGGTCTGCTTGCAACTGCTCTCCCCAGCGGGCCCTGGAGAGGCAGGTCCGTCACCAGCAGGGCGGCAGCGACCGCAGTACCTGCCCTGGTGAGACGGTGCAGGACAGGTGGATGAGTCTGCAGCTGGTGCATTGCAGGGAAGGGCCAAGGACACACCGGGAGAGGAGCCGCAAGCCCCCGTCAGCTGGGGGAGGGGCCAGGCACCACCCCGATGAGGAGACTGAGGCTCTGAGACCCCTCTTCTCATATGCGAAAGATACGGAGACAGAGTGCGGCCCCGGTTCTGCCTGGTCAGACGGCCGCTGTGTGGGCACCGCACTGTGCAGAAAGCTCGCTCCTCCGGAATGCTGGCTGCCTGAGGATGGGCGCCTTCCGGCCGTGCCGAAGGTGCAGAGTCGAGCGTGTCCAAAGGCTGCTTTCCACGCTGCCCTTACTGACCCCCCCCCCCGGAGTTCAGCGCCCCAACGGCAGGTTTGCTTTGGCCGAAGCACTCGTCCTTACAGCACTGCAGGCCCTCTGCCAGCTCACGTCCTTCTGCTTTGCAGACTTCTAGAGTTCCTCCTGGTGTCTGTTCTCAGGGCGCTTTCCTTCCCTTTCAGCTGTGCAAACACCAAAGTCAGCGACACTCGGAACATAAACAGATGGAAACCTGCCCGCGTGCTGTGCCGGCCTCCCGCGTCCTCCCCACACAAACACACTGCAGCTGGGGCTCACCTCCCACTGCACCGAAATAGCCTGTTTAGAGGCGAGCCCCGTGTAAGAGCCCCGTGTCTCCTCGTGTCCTCGGCAAACGTGTTTTCTGCTCAAGTGCTTCAACTAGACTCCAAAATTAAGCCTGGAGGTAAACTGGGGAGAGAAGGAGAGGTAAACAGAACCCGGGGCCAGCTTGTCGAGGACAGGAGCTAACGGAATGGGGTTGGGAACTTGGAAGGAAATAACGTTTCACATACAGGAATATTAAGAAACAAGTTGCCAAAGAAAACCTGCAAATCATTTTTTTCCCTTTGCTTGCATAATCCCAGCATTTATCCACGACTTGGTCCCATTTCCTTTCCCGGTTCCAGCCAGCCTGTATTTTTCCTATAGTCTACAGAAGCAGTTTCTTTGACAGCTTTCTCAACGGCAAGAAAAAGAATCTGCTTCTATGTACAAATTAGCTTGACCTGATTAAATAAAAGTTCGTTACAGAAAACATGAAGTGTTTTGAAGAATGCAGAGTCCCGGAGTTCAGCGACCGAATCCGGATTCGTGGCTGCGTCTCCCAGACCCCACTCCCTGTTTTCATAGCGTGGCTGTAAATTAAGGACAAGCACGGTGTCACCACTGCGTCACGGCGTGGGGCGCGTCACGGTGCGGGACCAATGGGACATGTGTGAAGGTGACTGTCGGCCATTGCC